AGCCTTTCGCTTTAGGCATCTTAAGATTTTCATACAATGTTAAATTCCTTTTCTCCTTTAACACTCTCTAAATACTGGCTTAGGGACGTGGGTGGCACTGTGGTCTAAACCACAGAGCCTAGGGCTTGCTGATCGGAAGGTCAGTGGTTCGAATCCCCGCAACGGGGTAAGCTCCTGTTGTACGGTCTCAGCTCCTGCCCATGTAGCAGTTCAAAAGCACGTCAAAGTGCAAGTAGATAAATAGGTACTGCTCTGGCGGGAAGGTAAACCGTGTTTCCGTGCGCTGCTCTGGTTTGCCAGAAGCGGCTTAGTCATGCTGGCCACATGACCTGGAAGTTGTACGCCGACTCCCTTGGCCAATAAAACGAGATGAGCGCCACAACCCCAGAGTCATCCGCGAGTGGGCCTAACGGTCAGGGGTCCCTTTACCTTTTAAATACTGGCTTGGGTGTGGTGCTAATCCAGCAAAATGCTAATACAGTGGTGCCTCGCAAGACGAAATTAATCTGTTCCGCGAGTGTCTTTGTCTAGCGGTTTTTTCGTCTTGCGAAGCAACCCTATTAGCGGATTAGCGCTATTAGCGGTTTAGCGGCTATTAAAGGCTTATTGGCTTAGCGGATTAGCTGCTAAAAGGCTATTAGCGGCTTAGAAAAAGGGGGAAAGCAAAAAAAAATCTCAAGACTCGCAAGACATTTTCGTCTTGCGAAGCAAGCCCATAGGGAAATTCGTCCTGCGAAGCAACTCAGAAACGGAAAACCCTTTCGTCTAGTGGGTTTTCCGTCTTGCGAGGCATTTGTCTTGCGGGGCACCACTGTACTTACCCTTTGCTTATTTCTGAACGAAACTCTGTAACATTCATACTGAGCTGAAACGTTTTGAGAGAAATGGGGGACCTGTGGCCTTCTCCCCTATCATCTATGACTGCTGGCCATGCTGGCTTGGGGTGAGGGGAGCTGGAGTCTCACAGGTGCCTCATCCCTGCATTTGGAGATGCTCCTCTAAGTGTAAGAGCTGTTCAGCAGTTGAACAGACTGCCTGGGGGGGGGGATGGTGGCCTCTCCTCTGGAAGCATTTAAGCAGAGGTTGGATCAACAACTGCCAGGCAGGCCTACATTGCAAATTTTGCACTGGTGTCAGGGGCTGGCTGGATGAAGAGGAATGATGGCAAGCACCAGCCGGGGAACAAACGCCAGAGGAGGAAGTCTCAGAGCCAGGCGATTGGTGGTGGGACACTGAGGAGAGGACATAGGGAGGAGGGGCTTGATACTGAAAGGGCAACAGGGTTTAGTGAGTGGGAAGAGCCGGTGGCAAGGAGCAGTTCAGACTCAGAGGCTGATGCAGAGGAGGAGGAGTCAAGAGACTGCTCAAAAATTCCAGGAGTCTCCCTCTCCTTCTGCAACAAACTCCCCTAGCCCCGTTCTCTGAAGAACGCACATTCAGAGGTGCACAGGTGTAGTTTGAGACTGCTTGGGCAACATCCAGAGGTGGAGTCTTAGAGCAGTGCAGAGGGAGGGGAAACCCTCAGGCCTGGCAACTGCTGTATAGAGGTGTCCCTATAGGGTGGCACTGTGGTCTTAACCACTGAGCCTCTTGGGCTTGCCAATGAGAAGGTCGGCAGTTCAAATCCCTGCGAATGGGTGAGCTCCCATTGCTCTGTCCCAGCTCCTGCCAACCTAGCAGTACGAGAGCACACCAGTGCAAGTAGATAAATAGGTACCACTGTAGCAGGAAGGTAAACGGCGTTTCTGTGCACTCTGGCACTCATCACAGTGTCCTGTTGTGCCAGAAGCGGTTTAGTCATGCTGGCCACATGACCGGGAAAATGGTCTGTGGACAAACGCCGGCTCTCTTGGCCTGAAAGCGAGATGAGCGCCACAACCACATAGTTGCCTTTGACTGGACTTAGCTGTCCAGGGGTCCTTTACCTTTTTTACCTATAGGGGCAAGGCCTGCTGGGAAGTGTTGCCATTTCCTTGAACAACTGAGCAGGGAATTGAACTGTATGATCTCTAGGGTAACTTCCTTAACTCTGTGATCCTGTGAGCCACTCTTTGTGTCAAGCACCTCTGCTGTTGCACTGTCAACGTAAAGTAATTATCCTCTGCTATACCAGAGTTCATGCCAGCAGTAAAGCCATAAATGCGGCCAGTATACTTGGAAGAAAAGCATGTGAAGGCACTGCCAACAAAATCTTAATTGTTTTCCTTGATTACTATTTCCTGTCCAAAAGAACATTTTCTTCCCATAGGGCCTATATCTGTTTATACTTCAAGGAGCAGATGGGTATTTTTACCAAGGGATCAGTGGGGTGGAAATAGGATAAGACAACAAAACATTGTTAAATAAGGAGTGATGGAGAGAGCTGTCCAATCCCTTGCAGGTGAAAGTTTACCAACATCTTCGTCCTTTACCTTTGATATCCTTTTTAGCTGCCAGGGAAGGGGCGGAATCGTCTGCCACATCTATCGTGCATGAGTCAACCAGAGTCATCACTTGGACATCTCTTTCAAAGGATGACGAATCTTTAAATAGCCCTTCCCACAACAAGTGCATAATATCTCTCTCTGTCTGTATGAGTCAACAGAGTTTACTTTGATACTCCTGCTCTGATGGTGTTTCCTGCTTGGCAGGGGGTTGGACTCGATGGCCCTTGTGGTCTCTTCCAACTCTATGATTCTATGATTCCTGCTCAGTTCCAACATCACTGCCCAAGCTGTGAAGTTGCTAAGACTTAACCATAGGTTATAACTATACAGTGGAACCTTGTCTGTCAAATATACCGTATTTTTTGCTCTATAAGACTCACTTTTTCCCTCCTAAAAAGTAAGGGGAAATGTGTGTGCATCTTATGGAGCGAATGCAGGCTGCGCAGCTATCCCAGAAGCCAGAACAGCAAGAGGATTGCTGCTTTCACTGCGCAGCGATCCCTCTTGCTGTTCTGGCTTCTGAGATTCAGAATATTTTTTTTCTTGTTTTCCTCCTCCAAAAACTAGGTGCGTCTTGTGGTCTGGTGCGTCTTATAGAGCAAAAAATACGGTAATCTGTTCCGGAAGACCGTTTGACTTCCGAAACATTCGACAACCAAGGCACAATTGCCAGTCGGCAAAATCTGTTGGGAAAATGGGGAAATGCGCCTTAGAAGGCGTTTGACTTCCGAGGCGCGTTTGAAAATGGAAGCATTCACTTCCAGGTTGTCGGTGTTTGAAAACCGAAATGTTCGACTGTTGTATAGAAAACAAACCTTGGTTTGGCTCTGCTTATGTGTTTTTGTTTTTCAGTCCTTTGAGCTCTTAGCTTCATAACTTCACTCCCAGCAATGTGGTGCGACAGTCTATGGAAGATATAAATTAAAAGTAGAGCTCGAATGGCTGTTTTTTCAATGTAATGGCATGATTTTATTTCTCTTACAACTATTGAGGTACACGGTCACTCAGCGTCAACAGTATGTGCAAATATCTGACTCATTTAAGACTATATAGAAACCATAGTCTCAAAAATTATGGAGTTCACAGCTCGAGAATACTTTCATTTTTATAAATCTTTATTATTTGCAAAGGGAATCTTTGGATGAGGTCATTATCACTTCGGACCTGCGCTGTATCTTTGTACTTTTGCCCTTCCATGGAATCATAGAATTGGAGAGTTGGAAGGGACCTCAAGGGTCATCTAGTCCAATACAGGATTCTCAACTAAGACATCCATAATAGATGGCCATCTGACCTCTGCTTAAAAACCTCCAAGGAAGGGGAGTCCACCACTTCTCATGGGAGTCTGTTCCACTGTCAAACAGCTCTTGCTGTCTGAAAGTTCTTCCTGATGTTTAGTCAGAATCTCCTTTCTTGTAACTTGAACCCATGGTTCAGGCCCTAGCCCCCAGAGCAGGAGAAAAAAGGCCTCCATTTGACAGATATTTGAAGATGGCTGTCATATCTCCTCTCCACCTCCCTCTTTCCCAGGCTAAACATACCCAACTCCCTCAGTCATTCCTCATAAGGCTTGGTTTCTAGACCCTTGGTCGTCTTGGTTGCCCTCCTGAGCACACGTTCCAGCTTGTCCACATCCTTCTTAAACTGTGGTGCCCAGAACTGGACACAGTACTCCAGGTGTGGTCTGAACCAAGGCAGAAAGGATAGAGCAGTACGCTTTTTGATTTTTTAGCCCCATCCCCCCCTTTTGTTACGCTTGCACTTTTAGCAAATCCAGATTTATTTCTTTTTTTAAAAATGATAACATAAAGGAGAAGATTTAAGCACTTAGATTCAAAACATGTGATACAAAACAAAGTTGTTTTTCAGATTGTATGAACAAAGCCATGCTTAGAAATAGCATGCTGTTCCTAATTTCACACTCCAACCCCCCCGACCCCCCCCCCCATTTTTTTTGTTAACTGTGTGTAATGTCTCATTCTAGGAGGCTGGCTGCAAGCAGACACCGTCACTCATCCGGACAAGTGTTGACAGAGAACTGCCAAAGCTGAGTCCAAGGCACAAGGTACAGAAAAATTGGTGTGTTCGCCATCATACTTTCCTATTGCTGCGTTTGCTTTGAACTGCATTTCTTCTTTACGCTTGTTTCCATCTTTCAGGATTGGGAGCTGTGCTTTTGAACTAATTCCAAGGGGATTGGGGCCGCTGGGACTAGTGGCACTAGCCCTATTGAGGTTTTTCTGTTTTATACAGTGGTACCTCGGGTTAAGAACTTAATTCATTCCGGAGGTCCGTTCTTAACCTGAAACTGTTCTTAACCTGAAGCACCACTTTAGCTAATGGGGCCTCCTGCTGCCACTGCGCTGCCACCGCACAATTTCTGTTCTCATCCTAAAGCAAAGTTCTTAACCCGAGGTACTATTTCTGGGTTAGCAGAGTCTGTAACCTGAAGTGGCTGTAACCCGAGGTACCACTGTATTGAGTTGGACCAGTGGTCCATTTAGCCCAGCATTGTCTTCTCTGACTGGCAGCATCTCTCCAGAATTTCGGACAGCAGTATTTCCCAGCCCTACCTGGAGATGCTGGGGATCAAACCCGTGACCTTCTGCATGCAAAGCAGGTGCCCTGCAACTAAGCTACAGCCCTTCCCTCCATTGTGTCAAGAAGGAGAATGGGGTACCTTTCATGGCCCTGCCCCTTCTGTCACATTCCTAGCTGCCCAGCCTTCCATGTGCTGGGACTGAACATCTGCACTGGGAAGGATGCTAAATTGTGTGGAGGGTAGAACAGCCTCCTTGCAGCAGAATTCCAATCAGAGCTTATGGAAGATGTTGGGGCAGGGCTGATTGGGCCACGATGGAGGGGGTTCGGCCAATGAGCATAGCCCGATTCTCTCCCCTCATAGGATTGAGAACCTCTGGAATGGCGTGTTGTCAGCAGTGTTAGAAACTCAGACATATAAGCTGGGCGCCCAATGACTCCTTAAACCAGGGTTACAGTCGCCAAAACAGAATGCCTTGTTGCCATTTTGGGGCCAGATGGCTCGGAAGTCATGTTTTGATTCCTGAAATTCCTTATGGTTGTGCAGATAAAATACAGCGGATAGAATTCCACAGGATGTGTTGCTATTGTGTGAAAACGGTCAAAATCCACAGATCCCCAGTCATGCAGCTCCAAATGGTGGAGACGTCAGGTGCCATCCTGACACCCTGGACAATCTCACTTATTCGCAAGTGGTTGATATGGAAAAGTAAAGGGACCCCTGACCATTAGGTCCAGTCGTGGCTGACTCTGGAGTTGCAGCGCTCATCTCGCTTTATTGGCCGAGGGAGCCAGCGTACAGCTTCCGGGTCATGTGGCCAGCATGAATAAGCCGTTTCTGGCGAACCAGAGCAGCGCACGGAAATGCCGTTTACCTTCCCGCCGGAGCAGTACCTATTTATCTACTTGCACTTCATGTTTCCGAACTGCTAGGTTGGCAGGAGCAGGGACCGAGCAACATGAGCTTACCCCGTCGCAGGGATTCGAACCGCTGACCTTCTGATCGGCAAGTCCTAGGCTCTGTGGTTTAACCCACAGCGCCCAGGTGCAAAATGCCCCTGGCGAATTTCAAACGCTGGTTGTCAGGGCTTGGACTTGTGGCAGGTCTTGAACTCGGAACCTGAGAGATTTCGGGCCAGGATTCAGCCTGGCGAGCTACAGCTAAGCCCTGGCCAAAGGGAGAGAACAGTCAACATAGCACAGCTGCTCAGCTTTCTGAAATGCTACGCCGTAACCAAGACTATGCCTAGTCTTGTGTCTGAAAATAAAATAATATCCAAGGGAACCTGAATTCTATGATTTGTATAAACAATGTGAATCAAGCCAGATTTTTTATAATTCATCTTACTGAGCAGTAATTGTCTCGGATATCACAAGGACTAGGAGGAACTTGCATGGTTTTTAAAAAATGAAAACTGAGAAGATGATGAACCTGAAATTTGCGGGCGTTTCTTCTGCATTCGCAACTTTTAAAGGCATTGGGCATTTCCAGACTGTCACTATTTTCAGATGGGATCGCAACAAATTCAGGTAGCGTCGTTAAAGCTGATTTGGAGCTCTTGCGCATCAGAACTGCTTCCCCCCCAAAATCAGACTTTTGTTGCATTATGGACCATGATGGGGAAATGCAGTGTGGAATATTATTTGCTGGACACATTCAGTCATGTGGCCTCCCATCTGCAGGCTGGCTGTGGTCCAGCTCAGACACGTTTTTCCCACCTCCATGTGATGCTTAATCATATGTCAATTTTCCTCCGATGTTTCGCAGTGGAAGATTAACTGGGGTGGAAGGACGTCTTAACCATTTCCCTGCAGTGGTTTTCCTGCAAAAAGAAAAAGGAAAAAAGCCTTCCAGTTGTTCCCCATATCATGGGGGGAAAGATAGTGTGTAGAGGAAAAACAGAAAATTCAAGCCGCAACAAATACCCCTCCCCAGAGGAAAGGTGTTAAAAAACCCCTCTCCCCCATACTCCAGGCTTCTCTTGTGACCTTTGTGGCTGTGTATTGTAAAAGCATAAAATACGCAGGGGAAATGTGTGCGAGGCAAAGCATCACGTGGAGTTCATCTCTGAGACATAAGCCAGAGCCCTAAATTTAAATGCAGGCTTAAGGTGTGTTTTGTTTGAAGGGGGAGTTTGCACAGAATATCTGGCACAAGCGACGCTTGATCAGCTGTGCAAATTTTGGACACTTAGGGCACAGAAACTCACAGGCGGCCTGAATCCCTCAACTTCTCTGCAAATTCTGCAGAGCTTTTGAAAGTAAACATTTTTTGATATGTTGGGTTGCCAGATATGTCTCCCTCCCAACCTCACCAACTGGTTTAAAATGTGGACTGTTGTTCAGCAGAGAGTTATTGTTGCTTTTGAGAGGCACCATTGTCTTGTTTGTGGTGTCCTTGCCCTCCACAGCAAATGTTCTCCAAGAGAGCTTTGCTTTCTTCCATAACTGGGGCGTGCTCTAATTAAGGATTGCTTTTCAGTCAGTAGATAAATCAGGCACTTATTTTGGAAGAACCAGATAAACAACGAAGGTTCCTTAGATATGACCCCAGCTGTACTCCACACTTGGCCTGTTCTAGCACGTATGCCCAGCTCTTTGGCAAATTGACAGGAGATATTTAGCCATTCCCCTGCCATATATCAATGTTTGTTTTGGATATTGGTTCAGTTTTGACACTGGTGCCTTATCACCCCGCCCACTGCAAGTTATGTACTCGCAAGTTATGTACTCATAAGAGTTGTATTTATGCTATCTTTGGTGCCTGTTCCCAGGGGCACTTGATACCTCGACACACGAATGTATAAGGGCGGGCCTGCTGAAAGGGGGATCTGCTACATATAGATCCTTGGACCTGGTGAACTTGCATATTAAAGCAAGCTATGCTTTTACCGTCCCAGACTGAAGAGAGCGTCTGCCTCTAATGTTTGTATTGACGGCTCAAGAGCTGATCCGGGAAAGTGAGCCAGCCTTGAAATATTGTTGATGCACCCTTTGCAGACTGGGGATTGACAGGTTCACCATGTGCTTGTAGCAGTGATGTTTTAACCATTTGCTAAATTGGCCAGCAGCCCAGTTTGCACCTGCAGGAGAACCACGATGGCTGTGCCGTCTCGCTTCTCATCGGGTATATTGTCTGGTTCTTTCCTTCATTCCACATCAGTGTTCAATGCCTTTTCTTATGCATCTTGGCATAATTTTGCATAAGAACATAATGTAAAAAGAGCCCTGCTGGATTAGGCCAAAGGCCCACCTAATCTATCATCCTGTTCTCACAGACACCAACTGGATGGCTATGGGAAGCCTGAAAGCAAGACACGAGCGTGGCAACACTCTTCCCCACGTGTGATTCTCAGCCACTGGTATAAAGTGGTACCTTGATTCACAAACTTAATCCATTCCAGAAGTGCGTTCCAAAACCAAAGCGTTCCAAAACCAAGGCGTGCTTTCCCATAGAAAGTAATGCAAAATGGATTAATCCATTCCAGACTTTTGAAAACAACCCATAAAATAGCAATTTTATTATCTAACAAGACCATTGATCCATAAAAAGAAAGCAATAATCAATGTACCGTACTATAAAATAAATAAGACAGTATTGTAGATGATAAAAATAAAAATTACATTTTTTTCCCTTACCTGCACTGAGGATAGTTATTGTTTCAATGGGAGGCTTTTATCCATTTCCGCAGTCACTCACTCACTCAATCAATCAGTAGCTGAACTGGGTTCCACACAGTCACAAAAATAAATTAACCCCAAAAGCCTCAAAAACAAAAGCGCCAAATACAGTGGTACCTTAATTCTCAAACTTATTTTGTTCCGAAATGTTTGAAAACCAAGACACAGCTTCTGATTGCTGCAGGTGCCCCAGAAACAATAGCCGACAACCGCATTGGACGTTTGGCTTCCGAAAAACGTTCGAAAAGTGGAACACTTCCAGGTTTTTGGAGTTTGAGAACCAAGGCGTTGAGTACCAAGGTGTTTGAGAACCAGGGTACCACTGTATTGCCTCTGGCAGGGGAAGTAGGAAGAAGGCACCATGACTAATAGGTGTTGACAGCCTTGTCCTCCACAAATCAGTCCGTAATTCCCTTTTTAAGCCAGCGACTAATTGCCCATCACACCATCATGTGATGGCGATTCTCATAGTGTGAAAAAGTACATTCTATTGCATGTCTTGAACCTCCCAACATTCATTGGATGCCTCCCTCCACTTTTTATGAAGATTACCCACTCTGGGATCCCATAGCTAATTCTCCCCTGGTCTCCTTGCTGGCCAAAATAGGACTAATTTAGCCATCTAGCCCTGGTGATCATCTAATGTTTATTGGATGGTTTTTTCCACTAGATTGATTTTTGAATTCTGAATTTATGGTTATTCACGTTTTGTACTGTATTTTATGCTGTATTTGTTGCATCAATTAAGTGTTTTAAATTTGTTGTTAGCCTCCCTGAGCCCGGTTTTCTGAACCGGGAAGAAACTATTACTATTATTATTATTATTATTATTATTATTATTATTATGCCTCGCTAGGATAAGTAACGTGGTGCCCTCCAGATTTTGTTGGACTCCATCTTCCATCTTCCCTGGCCTGCAGGTCCAATTATCTAGGCTGTTGGGAGTTGAAGTCCAACAATATCTGGAGGGTACCACTTAGGCTGCCCCTGGTTTTACGTATAAACCAAGTTTACATTTCGTTTTGTAATCTGACCAAAAATCCTGGAAGGTTGACCTCCTTGACCAAGTTCATTCAGCAACACCCATTTCTCTACACAAGCTACGTGCCAGTTTAATTCTATGGATTAATGCCATTCTCAGGAAACCGTTTTTAGAATGCTGGAAGGAGTGACAAAGTCCCATTTCTCCACTTGTATATTCCAGTCATCTGAGTTGAGCAAGAGACTTAACATTTCCCAGTACATGAAACCTGAGTCAACTCGGGTCTGATTGTCAGATATAGAAACAATCCGCTGGTTATTCATCACTTCCCCCATCCTTGTGTGTAACTCTGGAACTCGAGCAGCTTTTATTGTGCCATATAGAAGAACCGGGCGAAATGTGGGAATGCACAGAGACTTACCATGCGCAAAGGAGGTCC